GTACATCTTCATGTTTCGAAAGTTTTGTTTTATATATTGATGTGCTTAATTGTCTTGCTGACCTATACCTAGCTGGTTTACCTGACAACATTGTTAATTTATATTACCAAAAAACTGATTATGAAATAAGGATCGGTGAGGAAACCTTGAAAGTCTTTTAAGATATAAATGAGTGAGTTGTGAGCTCCTGTATGTTGATTTATCCACGTCGAAAAAATATCTTAGCTTCAAAAAATTCTCAGAGATGTAATGGACAATACGACTACTCAGAAGTATTGGCTGGATATTCAATTACGATGGGGTGATTATGATTCACATGATGTTGAACGTTATGCGAGGGCGAAATTCCTTGATTATACCACTGATAATATGTCTATTTATCCATCGCCAACTGGTGTTTTAATTGCAATCGACCTGGCATATAATTTATATAGGTAGCTTTTTTCTTTAAGTTTTGCAGTTGATGTTTAAATTTAAAGTTTAAATTTAATTTATTTTTTTTTAATGAGAAAAAATTCAGTAAGGTTGTTTTTTCCAGTGCATATGGAAATTGGTTCCCTGGTATGAAACCGCTGATTCGACAAGCCATGGCTAAAATCATCAAAGCCAATCCCGCTTTTTATGTATTGCGTGAACGTATTCGTAAAGGTCTTCAATTGTATTCATCTGAACCTACAGAACCGTACTTAACATCACAAAATTATGGCGAATTATTCAGTAATCAGATCATATGGTTTGTAGATGACACGAATGTTTATAGAGTTACGATCCATAAGGTATTTTTATTGCATTAATTCGATCAAATACTCTTTTGAAACTACTAAACATTTCAGATCTTCGTTGTACTTGTTCTATTTACTTTAAGACAGACAGTCATATTCTCTTTTACTAGAATTTCAAATCTTCAGCTTAATAACATAAAACTTCAAACTTTTACAGACATTTGAAGGGAATTTAACAACAAAACCTATTAATGGTGCAATTTTTATTTTCAACCCACGAACTGGACAACTTTTTTTAAAAATCATCCATACTAGTGTATGGGCTGGACAGAAACGGTTAAGTCAGGTACACTTTTTTGATTTTATTCAGTTTTTTCATATAACTTTTTAGCCATGCAATAATGAAATATGTTTTAGTTAGCTAAATGGAAAACAGCTGAGGAAGTGGCAGCTCTGATTCGTTCTTTACCAGTTGAAGAACAACCACGCCAGATCATCGTAACACGAAAAGCCATGTTGGACCCTCTGGAAGTTCACTTGCTAGACTTTCCAAATATTGTTATCAAGGGATCAGAATTGATGTTACCATTTCAGGCTATTATGAAGGTTAAAATTGCATAGTTTTTATCTCGGTAAATACTATTTTCCATCCAAATATCAATTTTTAATTAAGGATTGAAGTCGGAAAACATTTAGGTAGAAAAGTTCGGTGATCTGATTTTGAAAGCGACTGAACCACAGATGGTCTTGTTCAACTTATATGATGATTGGCTAAAAGTATGATTCAGATCTCATTTTTGTTGTAATATTGTTTATACAGACAAAAACTTCTGCATCTCACTATGCTAGACACGGTTTTGTGAAACTTTTTTTGCCTACATTATAAATAGTGACTTCATATTCTGTGAATAGCTTATCTCGTTCACTGTATTTTGATCATTAAATAATAAAAGTAATGGTAATCATCAGCAAAGAAAATGTGGAAAGAACGAATCTCGGACTGTTATAATAATTTTATATTTCAGACTATTTCTAGCTACACAGCATTTTCACGTGTTATATTGATAATGCGCGGTATGCATATTAACCCTGACAAAACGAAAGTAATTTTAAAACCAGACAAGACAACAGTAACGGAGCCTCATCATATATGGCCGTCTCTGAGTGATGAAGATTGGATTAAGGTTTGCATAACTCATCAGATTACTACATTCAGTCTTTAAAATAAAATTAACTGAACTTATTCTCAGGTTGAATTAGCCCTGAAAGATATGATTTTGGCTGATTATGGTAAGAAAAATAATGTGAATGTTGCATCACTGACACAGAGTGAAGTGCGAGATATTATTTTGGGTATGGAAATCAGTGCACCTTCAGCCCAGCGTCAACAAATAGCTGATATTGAAAAGCAGACAAAGGAGCAAAGTCAGGTATATTTTCTTACGAAACGAATTTTTGTAATTGACGACGGATATTGCATCTCAAAGTATTTGATGGAATAGTTTTTCTTGAGTCAGAGCCTTTTCAGTAATATTTGTTTCTAATTGAAAGTAATGTATTATTTCGATGGTTCAGTTCGTTTTCACTCTTCCATCTCCAGGTGACAGCTACCACAACTCGCACAGTTAACAAGCACGGTGATGAAATCATATCGGCAACAACAAGCAATTATGAAGTAATAGATTTTTGAACATTATTCGAGATCCGAGATATTTTTGAACATCTTATAAATTTTTTGATGGAAGACGCATGAAAAGTTAAAAACTGCTGAGAAACTAGGTTATAAAAAGTTATGAATTGTACGACAAATGAGTTCTTGATTTTCAAGAGTCAGACATTTGCTTCACGCACTGAATGGCGGATTCGTGCAATCAGTGCAACAAATTTGCATTTGCGAACACAGCATATATATGTTAACTCGGATGATGTCAAAGATACTGGCTATACATACATTTTGCCGAAGAATGTATTGAAAAAGTTCATTATAATAGCAGATTTAAGAACCCAGGTGCCTGTTTCTTTTTTTTTTTTTGTCTTTTTTTCTTTTAATTCCTAGAGTCCGAAATATTCGACAAAGAATTCAGTAGAAGAACGAAATTTAATTTGTTGATTTTAGCATAGAATATTTTTTACAGGTTGCTGGTTATCTGTATGGAATATCACCACCTGATAATCCACAAGTTAAAGAAATTCGTTGCATTGTACTACCACCACAGTGGGGTACTCATCAGTTAGTGCACCTGCCTAATCAGTTGCCCACTCATGAATTCATCAAGGATCTCGAACCACTTGGATGGTAAGGATTGTATTTAGGGACTTTAGCATATAGAAATTTTTATTTCGAAAATGAGAATGTGCAAAATCCCAAAACAAACATTTGGTAATAAAGTTAATATAATACGAAGAAACTTATTGGAGTAAGACGTCTTAATTCTTTAATCTACACCTAATCTCAATCGGCTCTGATTTACTCATTAGATATGAAGCATTTTTTTAGGATGCACACCCAACCAAATGAACTACCTCAGCTGTCACCACAAGATGTAACTTCCCATGCAAAAATTTTATTAGAAAATGAAAGTTGGGATGGTGAAAAAACAGTTATTATTACCTGCAGGTAAACAAATCATTAGTTTTTTGGTGGATTTGGTTAGTTTACTTTTTTTATTCATTTCCGAAGTGGCTCAAAAATTTATAATCATTTCACTGTTGGTATAATTTTTCAATTTTTGTTCAGATTATTTTATGGATTTCGACTCAGTTTAGAAATATGTAATTTCAGTTTCACTCCGGGATCGGTATCTTTAACTGCGTACAAACTGACACCCAGTGGTTTTGAATGGGCTCGAAATAACACTGATAAGCAGAGTAATAACCCTAAAGGTTATCTTCCGTCTCATTATGAAAAAGTCCAGATGCTTCTGTCGGATCGTTTTCTTGGCTATTTTATGGTACCGTCATCCGGAATATGGAATTATAACTTCATGGGTATGACTTCATGAATTGTAATTTTTCTCCGTCATTTAAATGAATGTTTATGAGTCGGTTTTTTTTTGTAATGTTAAAATTTTGTTCTTTCTGTATTTTCTGTATCATGTTTATTACAGGTGTTCGACATGAAGCAAATATGCGTTATGATTTGATGTTAACAAATCCCAAAGAATTCTATCATGAAGACCACAGACCACTACATTTTCAAAACTTTAAAGGATTTGATGATCCATTAGGTGTGGCTGCTGCTGACCGTGAAGACATTTTTGCTTGAAATCAGTTGAACTTACTAAAGGATTTTTTATCCCCATATATTTTTTCAATTCTTGTAAATTTTGAAGTTTAAATCACGGATGAAAATATTGACCAATGTTTCACAATTTAAAGTTTGATCCTATTTCGCTATCCTTGGCAGTTATTTTGGTGGCTGTTTATCTCTAGCACCTTCTGACATTTCGTCAGTTACATTGTGTTGCATTAAATGATCACAATTGTGAGATTTCTCTTTTTTGCACTTATTAAATGTAAAAATTTTAGCATTTTCTTGATTTTATCATATTTCATATGGAACAAAAGTTCAAAGTTTCTGTATTTTTTAAAACGATTCAGTTAAATCAAAATACTTTGTTTTCATATCACGTTGTCCATTATTCATTATGTATGAGAGATAATCTCCAAATATATCGTTGTGTTTTCAAATAAATTTATTAAGAAGCGTTAATTATGTGGCAAAAACTGTATTCACAAGAGTTTTAGCCCTTATTGATAACGAAATGCGGAATGAGGTTTCTAAATATAAATAAAATTATGGGAGGTGGGAATGAAAGTCGCTAATGTTGGGATATTCCGATTTTGTTGGCTCACATGAGCTTTTTGCGCTTATTAACAACTGACAACTTGATGAAGTTTAAATAATGATCGATTCGTTCCGCAAGTGTGGAACTCACGTCGTAAGATTTCAGCATGCGCGTCCGGTTCGTTTCATTGTCAAGATTGATAGGACTGGAGAATTTTGCCAGTCAGACTCCATGATACAGAAAAATCGCTTCACTGGAGGTCGGTTTTGTGTTTTTTCTGAATTTCTGACTTGGATGAGAAAAGCTCATTCGGAGTGCGTGATTTTGGTATTAGGGGTGTTTGGTCTTAAAAATCCACATTTTCATTTTTTAGAAGCATAGGAGCTATTCCAGTGAAGAAAGTTCACCTTACTTATTGCAGGAGGACACAGTAGTGAGTTGGTTTTGTGTGATGCTCAACATGCTTATTCCAGAAATTTAAGTTGAAAACATGACAGCTATTCCGGTGAAGAAAAAAGTACAGGTTAATTATGTCATAGTCGATGTGAAAGGAATTGCTTACATATTCAAATGTGCTTATTTTTTAATTTTCTCTTTTCTCATGACTTTATCGCTAGAAATAATTCTTGCTAAAATAAGTATTTTTGTTAAGGTTTCATTTGTGATTCGGGATGAAAAGGAACCGATGCATCGTTCAGGTGTGAACTGCTTGCAGTACGATGCACAAACAGGTCGTCTGTTTTCCGGTGGCTCAGATACTATTATACGAATCTGGAAATCACCCGATCGTAAAGATGACAGTTTTCGGGTTGTTGTTAACGTTTTGATTTCAGACATTATAAAGAATAAATATTGTGCTGTAAACAAGAAAAAATTAATGCAAATGACTGGAACAAATAGAAAATATTGCCTAAAATAGTTCGTACATCTACGATGCACTGAAATAGTAGAAAATTGGGTAGGGATCAAAATATAGCAATAAGTTTTCCAACTTCCTTCTAATTTTGGGAAGAATTAGAATTGTTATTCACCATTTGAGAATGACACAAGCATAGCAAATTATATCTATCAAGATATAAAATATATTCTTTTGTACAGTTAATAAACAACGAGGGATCTTTTTGTGGTGGTAGTAGTTATTCAGTCGGTGGAAAAACAAGAGTTCGACGAGATCTTCACTTACAATCAATGGAACATCATACTGATTGGGTTAACGATATAGTGCTTTGCTGTGGTGGTCGGAATCGTGCGGTTTTTGTTTATTAAAAATTTTTCTTCTTTTTTGCTTATTTAAGTTTGTAGGTGATTACAGAAAAATGATTTTCTATAGAATTCTAAGTCAAGATAAGATGACTAGTTTTAAGAAATTTACTTACTGATTTCAGGTAAATTTTTCTTCGGACCGTCTCCTGTGGACAACTTATTATATAAATTATTTCAAGTAGATATATCTTATCTGTTTATTAAAAAGGAAATTCACTTCTACAATTAAAATTAAATTAAAGTTCAGTAATTTCGGCTTCAAGTGATACAACGGTAAAAGTCTGGAATGCTCAAAAAGGTTTTTGTATGTCAACGCTGCGGACGCATCGCGATTATGTTCGTGCCTTAGCGTATGCCCGGGATGTTGAAATGGTTGCGAGTGGCGGTTTCGATCAGCTTATCTATTTATGGGATATTGCTACGTTGACAAAACTAACTGCACTAAATAATACTGTTACAAGTGGGTTGAATTCTACTGCAGTACTTTAATAGAAAAAAAAAAAACTAATAACTATTCAAAGCGTTCATATAAATTTCGAAAAAATTGAAGCTTAAATTTTGCTTTTCAGCATCTTCGTTGACCGGTAATAAAGATAGCATTTATTCATTAGCAACGAACCCTTCTGGAACGGTCGTCATTTCCGGCTCAACAGAAAAGGTATCTTCGTTTGTTCGTGTTTTTTGTTATATCTCAAGAATCCTGTATTTTTCAGGTACTTCGTGTGTTCGATCCTCGTGCATGTCAAAAGTTGATGAAGCTTCGTGGCCACACCGATAATGTTAAGGCAGTTGTTGTGAATCGCGATGGTACACAGGTTTGCATCATAACATTCTTTTGAAGGGGTGGTCTTCATTTCGAATTCTTTGTGTAACTAAAATGAACCGAGCTGATATCTACTGTTGATTTAAAATATAATCTTGGATGTCTGTCTTTATATTCCATTTTCGACAAGAGGTTTGCTTAAATTCATGTGGTTGAATGCTCATGGAATTTGAGTTCATAGTGTCATATGCCAATTTTTTCAGTGCATATCAGCAAGTAGTGATGGTACTATAAAATTGTGGAGTATTGGACAGCAATGCTGCATATCATCATTGAAATGCCACTCAGAAAGTGTTTGGGCTTTGCAAGTAAATTTAATTTAATTTTTTCATAGTCGGTATGGACTTATTTGTGTCCCTAAATTGTTGTATAATGTGTCCATTGCTTTACAACAGTATAGTTATATTTCAAAATTCATACAAACACTGAAGTTTACTGAATGCTTGGGTAGTATCTTTTGTTGTCGCTTTCAGGTTGACAGTAATTTTTCGTGTGTATATTCCGGTGGACGGGACAAACGGATTTTCCGCACGGCAATTAATGATTTTAAAACAGCACAGCTAATGTTTATCGAGGATGCACCAGTACAGCGGGTAAGGACAATTTTATTACTTTTGGAATTGTGCCTTGATTAAATTTTATGATCCAATTTCTCATTCGATTACATTAAAAATACATGCTTAAGTATATTTTAAATGGTAATAGCAGTCAACTTCTGCTTGTTAACTGGATCATAGGTTATCACGAAATGTATATGAAGAAAATTGCCGTAAATATCTTTGCACTCCATTGTAATTTAGTTTTAATTTTGATGTTTTCATTTCAGTTACAGCTAATCGATTCCGAATCACGTTTCATTTGGACAGCTACATGGAATTCGTCGATCAAACGATGGCCATTGCCTAGTGATGCTCAGATTTCAGTTGAAATAAAAAGTGATCAATATGGAGAAACGATTCCATCCATTCATGAACCAGACCTGACTATTCCGGGTTAGAAGGGTGGATCAAATGTAGTATCAAAAATATGTTTCTAATGAAGAAACTCATTGTTGCATGCTTTTTGATAACTTCATTCAGTTTTTTCTTATTCTTTAGGTGCTGCAAGTATCAGGCAGCATGTTGTTTTAAATGACAAAAGACATATCGTCACAAAAGATACCGATGATAATGTGGCAATGTGGGATGTTTTAAAAGGAAGAAAGGTTTAAGATTTTACACTTATTCTAGGAATTTCTCCATGTTTCATGCTCCTCTATTTCAAAAATATTCGAAACAGTGATTTCTAATATGAACTGAAGATTTTCGAACTCTTACATATTTCCAACGTAATTATCAAATATGATGAAACGTAAATTAATTCCTTTTTAAAGGTATGTGATCATGGAAAAAGACCGATGGAAGAAGTGATCAAGGATCACTTCAAAAAAGTATTTGTACCTTCATGGTTCACAGTTGATCTGAAGAGCGGCGTAAGTTATTAATGAGGTTTTTTGAAACATGAAAGCGCTCAGTCATCTCCGCAGCTTTGTTATTAAAGTGATACTTCATCACTTCATAACTGTCATTTGATGATTCCTTTCTAGAGCACCACAGTTGTCTAGTTTGGTCCAAATTTACTTACATTTGAGTGCGAAAACTTCCACCACTGGTATAATGGGATGTTTTTCTTTAATATAGTGGACAATAATACTTTTTTCTCTTTAGATGCTACAAATTACACTGGATGAATCTGACTTCTTTTCTGCCTGGGTTTCGGCAAAAGACGCCGGATTTCCAAATATTCAAAATGATACTAAAAGTAGGTTTTTTGTATTTCCTTATTACAATTTGTTGAAATAAAAAGTCTAATTTTAGGTTTAATGGTGATCGAAATGAGATTTTTTTTTTCTACTTTAACTTATATTATAGTTAACTATGGTGGTATGTTGCTCAGGGCTCTATTTGAACACTGGTCACGTTCTTTTTCTGATGTTGATGAGGAATCTCCAACTCATCGATTTAATTCCGTACCTGGTCATACCCCACTCATTTTATGGTATATACTTAAAATGTTTATACTGATAGCAGATAAAAGGATAAGCAGAAGAATGAAACTACTAAATTTATGCAATTGCAAATTTTTTTATGTTTGAAATAGATAGCCTGATCGAAAATTTTGTCATTTTTATAGCACTAATTCATCCCACATCTTGAGTAATTAGAACTCAAATTTTTTATGTTTTGTCGAATTTCTGTATTTACAAGAATATTTTAATATAATAGATATTATGTTTATAAAAGTGCTATAATATCATCTTTGATAGCAATAATATCGGAAAATATCTCTCGATTTAACAAAGTAGATTGATTGGTGATGGTTTTAAAAAACCTATTAATTTCATTTCAGTGAATCAACTGGCCGACCAATATTTCGGCTGATGATACGGGATGCTGCACATGAGACTGAATCACAAATGCTTTCGGACTTTGTCCCACCTTGGGTATTAGATGTTGTTGAGCGAAATCAACTTCCAAAATTTAATAAAATGCCGTTCTTCCTGCTTCCACATCTATCGCTTGGAATCAAGACACCAAAGAAGTCTGTTTTTAGCGTATATGCGAGTAATTCTTACGATTTTGTAAGGTCAAGCAGCGAAGTTTATAAGAGAATTCAAATTTACACAGAAATAACTTTTTCAAGAGATCGATTAAGTGCAACAGAAATGCTTCAAGTGAGGAAAGTGATGGAACATGTTTATGAAAAAATATTAAATGTTAACGATGCAAGTTACTCAGAGAATGGTATCCCGTCTGCTGCTCAAATGTTGTCACCTTCCCTACAAACAAATATTGAAGAAAGGGTTGAACTTTATTGCCAAGATCAGGTATATTTGGCAATTGCTCAATTTGTATATGCAGAATACATAGTCGATGTTTAAATTCTATATACAGAGTGCACTCTGTTTAAATTCAAAAATCTGTTTTCAAACCACCCCATTCTGATCCCATATTGAAATCGGTAAATATCAAGTGTCTTACTTCTATAACTGTTAATAAATTTTTGACATCTTAAGAATTATGGTACAGTTATTGTATATTATGCCTATTTTTTAGAAATTGGATCCAGAAATGGACCTTCGAACTGTCAAGCATTTCATCTGGAAACAGGGTGGTGATCTCATGTTGTATTATAAACCTATACGTTAATGGTGGTTATTCGTATTAAAAAATCATTTTGTATTCAGTCTACAGCATTTTAAAGTCCAGTGATCTGTTCGAAAGTGTTTTCAACTTTCTACAAATATAAACATGGGATAATTACATAGTTTATATTCTTTACATAGTTTATATTTTTTTTTTCAACATCGACATAAAATACATCATATCCTATAGGTAAGATTTGTAATTGAATTGCTGTGATAGAGATGTAAAATCAGCACTTTAATATAATCGTGGTGTTTACATAGAAGATATATATGTGGATTTTTTACAGGAATTGTAATTGATTCATTTGATTTAATTTGTCTTACATTTACAGCACAAACCAAAATTTTTGTTGAAAAGTAAGTTCACGTACAGACTATGAAGGAAGTGCAACGACTCATGTTTTATGATTAAGTGCATAGTTCCAATTTAAATAACTTATTTATCCTAAAAAATAGACGCTGGTCCTTTCGCGTTCAACTTGGAATAATTTTTTGGGGTATCCTTGAAGTGTAATCATGTTTCTATGATAAATACCGACCTTAAAACGGAAGTCAAGTTACCACTGTTTTCCCTAGCAGGCATTATTTTTAGTCATCGCAGATGCGTTCTTAACCGTTAGAAATATTGTATTATGGTTTCGGTTAATAACGCCTAAACTTCCATTCTAGCATTTATGAAATGATCATAAGATCAGCGGATTGGAGTACGTGGTTAAGATTGGAGGCAGTCTTTGGGCAGCAACTGTAAAAACTTTCGTATCATGCTGATTTGGAACGCAACAAAGGCACTTTGATAATCTAAGATTATTTTTTATTCTGCAGTGATAACTGCATTTCGGTGATGTTTATATTTCATATGTGAACTGTTCCGAAATAAATAATTACAGTAAGTATTCCAAACTGACCATTATAGTAACTATTCCGAATAAGTATTCTTTATAAGTATTTCAAAATAACGGTAGTAGCAACGGTCGTCTGCACTCTACTGGTTTTTAAAGTAATATAATATACTCACTTTTTGAAAGCCTGGTCGCAAAACTTGATTGAAGTTTGGACATAATAACCGAGAAAACCCAAGAAGAAAATCTGTGGAATCAAATTTGTTTGAATGATACGAGCATTTATGTCCTCAACACTACCCTATCCGAATTATACTATAAATGAAATGAATTTGAAATGGATAAGTTTGGATCTCCTAACAAGACCCTTTCAAAATGATAAATTAAACAACATGGATATTTAAATTTCAATATAAGGGTATCCCTTCTATGCAAACATTACAACAATTATCTCTAAAACTGATTTGTGAACATTTCCGTGAACTTCACATATTTCACAAAAATTGACTCAACTTTGTTCAAACTAATTATAAAAACCAAACATAATCATTAATAAGAAAAGTGAGCAAATGGAAATAATTTAATTAAGACCATCTTATTATGGTTTCATATTATTATAACATATTACTATAACTACGTTTGTTACTACTATAGAGACGTATGACATTTGCTGTATGAGATATTAAGCAATCTGAATAATTCTAACGAATGGACAGAATTTTTTGTAGAATATATAGAGTTTTTGTACCTGCAAAATAGCTTTTGGATACAGAATCTTCTTGCTAAAGAGACTGAAATTTATCTTTTATCAAAAATTGAATCAGACTTTTTTAGTTATAATAAGTGAAAGAATAGCGAAAGTTTTCTAGAAGCTCCTGAAAAACAGTAAACAAATGATCTTTTTCCTTATCAGTATATCTCTTCAAACTGATTTCACAAACATTTGGTAACTCATTCAGTAAAATGTCAAAGACTATTATTATCACTCATTGCTCGCTTCCTTATCAGTAACACAAAACATTGTTTTGTGCACTGTGTGTTTTATTAGATTATAATTTTATTCATCTAAGTTTAAGTTTAAAAAATTGTTATTCATTTCAATCTTGTTAATCGAAACGAGATGATAAATACTCTAATGTGATTATTGTTTTATTAGAAGTCAAAGTTTTCACTTCAGAAGGAACAAAAAACTTACGACCACTGTGTTTTTTTCCTTCTTTATTTCCAGAAGAATGAAAATAATACCGTTTGTTGTGGCAGTAATCTGGATTACAATAACCACTTCATCAGGTCATCGTCTTTTATATACATTTTTAGCTGGTATTAAGTTAATAGTTTTTCGGTTTTTACTTAAGCGAGCATTTTCAAAAACTGTGCGATCATTCAATACTACTAAATTATTTCATACACACTTTAAGAGTGCATCATAATATTTGATTTGAATAATTCCTAAATGATTGCATTTACATTTAAGCATGCAAATGAAAACATTGTTTTCTGAGCTAATTCATTAATTTTTTTTTTTAAATAAGCTTCAAAAATGATTTTTTTAAAGTGATTTTGTTAAGGCAGAACTATGTTCTAACAGATAAAAGGAGGGAGAGAGAGAGAACAGAAAAATAGAAATTATCCAAAGCCAATCAATAACTTTGAAGAAACCATCGTCTTAATGAATTTTTGTCTTAAAAAATAATGGGTATTTCATTGCTTATAAAAATAAGCGGATCTTTGTCATTTCAGAAGAAAATCGGTAGAAGTTGCCGATTTAAAAACTAGATGAATAAATCATATCCAAGTCATGAGATGTGGTCAAAATGACCCCTTGAATGAATCTTGGGAAGCTAGCATATGAAATTAATGTGTAACAAATGAATAAATATTTCTTCGAGAATACTTCTAGCAGACTAAATTACTAGTTTTAATATCATTTTAGCAAATTAATTCCAAGTTTGCTTTGGATTTATAGTGAGGAGTGACGATTGGAAAAAAATGAAATAAGCAGGAATAGAAATAAATATCAAAATATTGTATTTTTGAATGAATCTATTATTTTAATGAATTCTTCAATATAAATTGTTGGCAATATGAGCTCCAGAATTGGATTGACTGTTTCTTTTGTCTTAAATCATTCTCATACATTCGATGGATTGGCTAAATCTTCTTTTTAAAAGATTTTTAAGTTTATATTGTAATAAAAACCATCCGCCACAAAATCACCAGAAAAATGATTAATATTTTCGAAAGCAACTTACAAAATAATAGATCTGACATGAATATCAAAATATTATATTTCTTTTTTACTCATAATATCATGTGTCAATATTTCGGGTAAGAAGAAATAATAAAGTTTAGCACTAAAATTTGTATTGAGCGAAACATAATTTACAGGTAAAAAGGAACAAAGAAGTTTAGTAGCTAACAAAATTGTTTTGGACTAGTCTCACGGAGATCATATGGATCGATTGCGTTGATCATTAAAGGCTTTTTTATCATTAGCTAGATCAGCAAAATAAAAATTTTCCTTTCATTTATTGACCATCCTAATTTCTATTGAAAAGAAATCAAGTTTAACCAGTTTGAGTCAACAATATGATATCTTAGGATTAGAGATTCAAGTCCTCATAGTATTTTTTAATATAATTTTTATGAAAATAAAAACAAAATTTTATACAACCTCATCAGGTATTAGCTTTGTTTTCTGCAGATTTCAAAACTACTAGAATGATAGTTTAAGTAACATTTAAGTAATTTTTAGATGGTCGTTGAAGTAAATTCCAGATTATTCAGGTAATAGTGCATTTCAATTTAATGATTTTTGCTAAATAGTTTTTGTTTCAGGAGACGGGATATTGAAGAAATTTCAAGTTGGTGACAGTTACTCTTTATTACTCAAAAATGACACTGGTATGAAACTTTCAAAATGAAAAATAATCAATTGTAGGAATTTCAAATAATTCAAACCTTGTATAACAATTTTGTAAAACAAAATTTCTAAAATATTTTGACGAAGTGACCTATCAATTATTTAAATTATTGAATGACTACTTCTAAACACAATAAAAAGCGCAGGAGGTCAATAGGCCATAACTAACTCTAAAAAATTCACTATCTGTTTGCACGCTTCTTGTGATCTAAATTCTAGAACAGTCCATGCAATCCTAAACTTCATGAAAAGCAATTTGGCTTACAATTAGAGACTCTTTCTTTATTGAAACCATTCTAGACTGATATTTAATACAAGCATATGTCTTTCCCAATTTCATTGAACTCTGAACTTCGAACCATCCTTTAACTTTTTTCCTGAAAAACCCTTTTTTTGATGAATCCAATTGTGTCATGTGTAAAATTATTAACATACATGAGGATTTTCTGTGAAGGGCACTGGGAAAAATGGATTTTCTCTATTTGCATTACATATGATCTGCTCACATCCTGTCATAGTCATTTGACAACTTAGACAAAAAAAAAACTTTAAAAATTCCATCTTGTAACAATAATTAAGCAACGAAATTAATAAAAAAATCCCACTTACAGCAGGAAGCTGAGCTATTCACCAGGAAATGCATTTCATAAATGCTGTAGAAGCTCTGACACTTTAGTAGCTTGTCAAATATCGCAGGAAAATACATCTTCCAATTTTCTACTAACATTTTTTTCCCATAAAAAGCAAAATATTCGAATAGAGATCATAATATTTTTAGGGAAACTGTCAGCCGATCTGGTATCTGAAGATAAATCTTACAATTATAATGGTGATGGCAGTGATGATGAAGACAAAGAGGACTATAGCGATGCTGATAATGGCACTGATAATGAGGATCATAAAAATGATAAATATGAGGATGATGGCAGCGCCGACACTGATAATAGCGGTGATAATGATGATCGCAGTGGAGATAATGGTGATGACGGCGACAAAGACTATGATAGTGATGGGGATGACGATGAGGATGATGACGGGGATAACGATGAAAATGGCGATGAAGAGGACGATGCTGGCAGTGACGACAGCGATAATGGGGATGAGGATGGTGATGATGGCGATGAGAATGGTGATGATGGCGATGGGGATGGTGATAATGACGATGAGGATAATGATGGCGATTATGAGAATGGTGGTGATGAGGATGATGACGGAAATGATGATGAAGATGGCGATGAC